CCTAAGATCTCAACCGATTTGTAATATCTCAACCAATCTATTCATTTCAACCAATTTTTACTCTTATTAGGTTCATCATCATCATCATCATCAAACAATAAAACTCACTAAAAAAACAAAATTTTATTTAAAAATTTTTTGCTCATGGATTCTTTCGAACCCAGCAGCACCCTTTCTTTCTCTTTCCACTTTCTGACCTTGCTTCTTCATCAATCAATTCTTCATCTTCATCAATCAATTCTTCATCTTCATCAATCAAAAAAAAAAAAGAAAAAAAAAAAACAGAACTCAAACCCAAAAATCCTGGGTTCGATGGAACCTAGGACCTAGGTTCCAAGGAACCCAACACGCTTGGGTTCGATGGAACCCAGGCTCAGGTTCCTTCAAACCCATGCGTTGGGTTCCTTAGAATCCAAGTCCTAGGTTCCATTGAACCCAGGATTTTTGGGTTTGAGTTATGTTTTTTTATTTTATTTTATTTTATTTATTGATGATGATGAAGAAGGGAAGGTAAGAAAGTGGAAGGAGAAAGAAAGGGTGCTGTTGGGTTCAAAGAAACCCAGCATGCCTAGGTTCGAAAGAATCCATGAGCAAAAAATTTTTAAATAAAATTTTGTTTTTTCGGTGAGTTTTATTGTTTGATGATGATGATGATGAACCCAGTAAGAGCAGAAATTGACTGAAATGAATAGATTGGTTAAGATGTTACAAATTGATTGAGATCTTAGGGTTTGTAGAAGTTGAAGAAAGGGTAGATGAAAGAGAGGAAGGAAAAAATTTTTTTTTTTTGGGTGGGATGAATTGGAATGGCCATGTCATTTATTTTTGCCAACTTGGCAATTTTTTGTGTGACATGTAATGTTTTTTCTATATTTGGCCGTCAATTAACGTGGAAAATTAACAAAAGGACTAAATCGAAGTAAAAATGATAAACAATAAGGATCAAATCAGAGATTTTTTAAGTTTATGGACAAAATCCAAGATCTGTACATTAGTTCAGGGACCCAAATGGGGTTTTAACCAATATATAAATGATTCTTAACTTTTTCTTTTAAAAAAATAAAAAAATATAGTTATTTTGAGATAAAGAGAATGGTAATTACTTATTGATTTTCTAAACAAAAGCATTATTCATTTTTTTTTTTTATCTTGGTTGCACAATGGGAGGCAACCATCTCCCATCTCTTATCTCACCTCACTTCACCCACATACCATGCGATTCAAACTCAGAATCTCTTACTTCCAATGAAAGAAGATGATCGCTAAGTTACTTAGGTCGTTAGAAACATTATTCATTTGTTCGATCCCTTTTCTTTAGGCCATTTATTTAGTGGATTCCTAATTTCCATTCTCCATAAATCAATACATCTTTTTAGTAATTACTTAGGGATCTATTTTATATATGAATTTTATATATTACTTTTATATAAAATTTTAATTATTTATCTCTCTATTTTTAATAATTAAAATTTATTTATATTTATTAAAAATAATTATTTTTTATTTAAAAAATTATAATAAATTTTAATCATTAAAAGTAGAGAGATAAATAATAAAAATTTTATATAAATATAATATTCAAAATTAGTGTAGATCCGTACTCTCAGCAATTATTTAAAAAAGCAGTGACTACTTCACGGCTTGGTTTCATTACCATGTTATTCCATGCATTCAAATCACCTTTCCCGCCATTCTCAAACACAGGGGTAGCATCCAAACGGTGTAACGGCCACCGGCGATAGTCCCTCAGCCGTTCAATCTTCTCAATCTGGCGAATCACCAACTTCAAGGTATTCACTTTCATCTCTTCAATACCTTCCTCGAGCAACTGCTTCTTGGTCTCTGCATTCTCCTCTTTGGCTCTAAAATACTTATCCAGCTCTGGCGCCCCAATAGCCCGTCGGACACCACGCTCATAATCCGCCTCTGTCACGAACATCTCGCCGACTTCATCCACCATACCAGCCTCCACCATCTCGTCCACGCGCTGCCTCACACGCTTGTACAGAACAGGAAGCTGAACGTCCATCCACAGGAAGCAACAATCGAAATGGGTCAAGAAATTGATCTTCGTGTTCTCCACAAGCGTCTCGACGTACGTGTTGGACCCACCGGCGATGATGGGGATGCGCCCGTTTTGGATGATACGGTCAATGGCTTTCAGAACATGGTGGCAGAAGTCGTTGACTGTGAAGTCTTCGTCCGGATCCACGAACCCTAGCAAATGGTGGGGGACACCATGGCGCTCCTCCTCGGTAACTTTGTTGGTGACAATGTCGAGACCTCGGTAGACTTGGATTTTGTCGGAGTTGATGATCTCTCCACCGAAATAGCGGGCTAAGTCGATGGAAAGTTTGGTCTTCCCTGTGGCGGTTGCACCCATTATGAATATAACCTTAATTTTCTTGTTTGATGCAAGATTCTTAAGGCCCATCTTCATGCAGCTCCGAGTTGACTTTTTTAAGATCTGTATAGATGTCTAAAAGAAGATTACGTTTCTGCACACCAAGACAGGAATCAGACTAGTTTGAGCTGGTGGACAATACTGATGCAGTCATTTTGTGTAATTTTGATTGAATTTCTGTGGCTTCAAAGGGGTAACGTGCATTGTTCACAAATCACAGATAGCTGAGATACAATTTTCCTTTTTAAAATAAAAGTCTTCATAAAATAAGGAAATTTTCAGATATTTTCGGAACTTAAGTGGTAAGTACGTACACTTAACGATTAGCTTGATAATGCTGACTTGTAGATATATATAGTTGTAGATTTTTTTATCTTCTAATATCCTAAAATTATATATAATATATTTTATATATTTAATATTTATTTTAATTAATCTTTTATATATTTTTAAAATAATAAAAAAACATAAAAATCAAAAGATAAAACATTGAGAAATGTTGTCAAACGAAACTTAAATAGTTAGAATTAATGACTTAAGTTAAAAATTATGAAAGTTGATTAAAAAATGGTTTTTTTTATTAATCTC